TAAACTGTTGTTATTAACAGTTAGTAAGATTGATGGTTCAAGCTCACTAGCCACTCCTTGGAAACCCTACTATGCAGGGTTGCTGAGTTGGAACCAACTCGATGGCACTTAACAACAACAACAACAATATAACTGTTAACTTCAAAAAGCTGTATCCCCAGGATGGGCCCTCCCAATAGGGACAAAAGCAGGTATCTCGTTGCCTAACTTACATCTCAAACTCTTTGCAGAACCAGTTCTTGTCTCCCCCAATTCTGTTCTGTATTGGTTTTCATCATTTCCACAAGTGGCACCACCAGTTACTAAGCTACAATTCTGGAAGTTTGACCTCTTTCCTTTCCCACACTCCTATACTGATTCTAGCATTTCTCCTTCCTTAGCTATCTCAGGTGTGTCAGACTAGACCTGTATTCTATACGATTTTCTGAAGTGGCTCTGAATGGACTTTAAATGCCAGCCTTTTGGTTAGTAGCTGAGCATATTAATTGCTTACACCAAGGCAGACAAATATACTCCAGCTTGTCCTTTTCGCTCTTCTCTTTCCTTCATGAAATCCAACCATCTATGCAATTAAGAGAGAGGTTTTTTTTAAATATCAAAGAAAGAAACCAATTGTGATTATTTCCAGCTTCTACTTGTTGTTGTTAAGTGGTGATGAGTTGGTTCCGACTAATAATGACTTTGTAGAGAGTTTCCGAGGAGCAGCTGGTGGGTTTGAACTGCTGACCTTGTGGTTCACAGTCCATAGTTGATCCTACAGAAAAGCCCCATGAGTTTCTAGGTTAAGATTCTCTAAAGGTTTATCAATGCCGTTGTTAAATTCCATCGAATCCTAGAATAGGTTCCAACTAACAACAACCCTGTATAGGGTTTCCAAGCAGTAGATGGTGGATTTGTGGCTCAAACAGACCTTGCAGTCCAGTGCTTATCCTACATCTCCACACCAGTAGTTGGTTGGTTAGATCATGTGCCGTGGAGTCGGTTCAGACTCACAGCGACCCTGTACAGGGTTTCCGAGGCTGTAAATCTTTACGGGAGCAGAAAGCCTCATATTTCTCCCGCAGAACAGCTGGTAGTTTCAAACTGCTGACCTTGTGGTTCGCAGCCTGATTCATAACCACTACGCAATCTCTACTTCCTCCAAAGCCCTATGTGGTCTGGCTTCTGCTCACCTCTACATCTCTTTCTCGTGCTCTTCTCTCTCTCACTCATTATGCTCTAAGCACCCTGACTTTTAGGTCCTGAAACACGTGCTTCCTGTTTGTTCCCTATGCTTAGCAGGCCCTTCTCTCCTTTTCATTCTTCAGATACCAGATAAAATATTACTTACTTCCACAGACTTTTCCTTGTGACTCTGAAAAATAGGTTTCTTCCTATATTCCCCTATTTTTTTTACATTTACAAGCTTATCAAAGTTTAATATTTTTTCCTTTGCCTACTGCTAGCTTCCCCCACTAAACTGTAAACCCATGTTTATCATAAAGTGCATATCTAGAATATAAGACTATCTATATGATCTGGTAAGGAGCTCTGGTAGCGTAGTGGTTACGAATTGGGCTGTGAACCGCACAGTCAGCAGTTCAAAACTACCAGCTGCTCCGCGGGAGAAAGATGAGGCTTTCTGCTCTCATAAAGATTTACAGCCTCAGAAACCCTGTACAGGGTCGCTATGGGTCAGAACTGACTCCACGGCACATAACAACAACATATTATCTGGTAGTGCAGTGATTACAAATCAAGCTGCTAATCTCAAGCTCAGCAGTTGGAAACTACCAGCAGTTCCGCAGGAGAAAGAGAAGGCTTTCTGCTCCCATAAAGATTTACAGCCTTGAAAACCCTATGCAGTATCACTATTAGTTGGAACGGACTCCGCGGCACATACCAACAACATATAATATAGGTATTCAAATGTTAATTGCTGAATGGGTAAAGGTTAGTCCAAGATATGCCTGGTTTTCCTTTATTTTTAGCCTTTATTTGTTCTCAAGTATTAAAGCGAACTCAACAACTCTTTCAATTAATATTTACTTAGTGACTTCCATATGCCACATTTTGAAAAGGAAGCTAGGGAGATATAAATGTGAAGGGTACACAAATGTAATGGAAGAGCAGATATATGTAAATATACCAATTGTGAGGCATTAGTGTTTTTAATAAGAAGCCCTTGTGGCCCTGTGGATTAGGCATTGGGCTAACTGCAAAGCCAGTGGTTCATACCCACCAATTGTTCCATGAGAGAAAGATGAGGCAGTCAGTTCCTACATAGATCAGTAATCTTGCAAACCCTGTAAGTCACTTTGAGTAACATTTGACTAGATGACAGGGGGTTAAGCGTTTTTAATATCTGGACAATAATGGAGTTTAGAGTTCTCATTTATGAGCTCAGTTAAGAATTTTAAACTGTGGGTTTACAAATATGAATCTGACCAAAGCAAAGGTTAAGAGTCTGTGTATGAAAAAGGCAAAAGGTTACTATACTAAACCAGGGTATGGAATCTTGGTGTGGCGATGTAGGATAGCAATGGACTGCTAACCACAAGGTCGGTGGTTCAAAGCCATCAGCAGCTACTTGGAAATTGTATACAGGGTCACCATGAGTTGGAACCAACTCCATGGTACTTAACAAGAACAATAACATGTTAATAAAAGCCTGAGTTAGGTAGAATGGTAGTAAAAAAGATTGAAAGGGTATAAAAACTTGGATAAAACCAAACTCTATAGCTATACTTCTTAAACTGTCTGTGGTAAAAGATTAGTTTTTTTACTAAGTTCTAATTGTAATGGAAAGGAGCTCTGGTAGCGTAGTGGTTACGAATCGGGCTGTGAACCTTAAGGTCAGCGGTTCGAAACTACCAGCTGCTCCGCAGGAGAAAGATGAGGTTTTCTACTCCCGTAAAGATTTACACCCTCGGAAACCCTGTACAGGGTCGCTATGGGTCAGAACTGACTCAATGGCACTTAACAACAACAACAACAATTGTAATGGAATAATAGTTTTGTAAAATGCAATCCAAGGAGCTATTAGAAAAATACAATTCAAAATACAAGCCTCAATTTACTATTAGAGTCAACATATAAAATTGTTCTTTAAAACGGCTATGAAAGGTTCTAAGTGCTTTCTCTCAATTTTGTACTTACCTAAACATTTACAGGTAACCAGTTTGTGGACTGCTTGGAGTAGCACTTGTTTTTTAATATTGTTACTCACTGGACACCAGAAAAATCTAATGTCATCTGAGATTTCTAGTCTAGGGGCCTATAAGAACCATGACACCATCAACTTGGGAAGTTTGGTCACAGAAGGTGCCACTGTAGAAAACAGAGATTTTAGACAGACTGAGAGAAATGATGAGAAAACCCACCAAAGACCCAAACATTTTCTACAGAGGATTTTTTATTAATTTTATTTTACTACCATCTGGCATTAGGAAAATCTGCTGCACAAGACCTCTTTTTAAAGTGTTGAAGAGCAAAGATGTCAGCTTGAGGACTAAGATGCGCCTGACCCAAGCCATGGTATTTTCAATAACCTCATATGGATGTGAAAGCTGGACAGTGAATAAGAAGACTGTAGAAGAATTGAGCATTTGAGTTATAGTGTTGGAGGAGAATATTAAAACTGCCATGAGTTGCCAAAAGAACCAACAGATCTGCGTTGGAAGAAGTGCAGCCAGAGTGCTCCTTGGAGGCCAGGATGGCCAAACTTCGTCTCTCATACTTCAGACATATTGTCGGGAGGGACCAGTCACTGGAGAAGGATATCATGTTTGGTAAGGTGGAGGGTCAGAGAAAAAGAGGAAGTCCCCCCAGCAAGATGGATTGGCAAAGTGGCAGCATCGATGGACTCAAGCATGGCAACAATAGTGAGGTTGGCCCAGGATCGGGTAGTGTTTCATTCTGTTGTGCACAGGGTCGCTATGAGTCAGTACTGACTCAATGGCACCTAACAACAACAACAACAACAACAACCATCTGGCTGAAAAGAGGCCAGGTACAGCTAATTTGGAAGAAAACTCACTCTTACAGAACACAAAGTCAGAGGCTAAAGTAAATTATCTAAATATTTAAAATGTGTGATCGTTGTGAAGTGCCGTAGAGTCAGTTCCGACTCACAGTGACCTTGTACAGAGTTTCCAAGGAGTGACTGGTGAATTTGAAGCTGCAGCCTTGCAGTTCAAATGACATTGTGGTCCAGTGCTTATTCTACAGCACCACACCAGGACTCCAAATGTGTAATTACCCAATGTCATCTGCAACCTAGTATAATAATTATTTGCAATTTGTGCTCCTCATATGAATTACTTTCTTCTTACAGACACACATCCATGTAGCTCCATTCTTTGAACAAACAACCTTGGTGGTGGGCTCCCAATGATTTAATTGTCCTTATGTTTCTTAAATTTGTGACATAAATCTTGGATCTCCAGCTGGAGACAAAGAACTCTTCTGTTTGACCTGACATCAGAGATTGATGATGCTTGACTGGACAAGTAGAAGCCCATCTTTTTGGTAATGGGGAAGACCAGAGAGCTCCCAAAGGATATAACCAAGTGAAATCAGAGGCTTAATAAACAAATTGAAGTTAGTATTGTCGGATATCAGATGATTTAAAAAAAAAAAACAACCTATACCAAAGGAAGCTGAATATGCTTTCAATTATCTGCAATAAATGGAAAGTGTGAGTTTTGGTAATGTAATAACCTATTTAACAGTAATATGATATGCTACATATGTCCTAAGTAATCTTCTAAAGAATGAGAGAATCAATGATACAAACTTGATAACTCTTGTGGTGATATGATGATGTCTTTACCAAGCAGATTTTCTTCATTAATCCCCAAAACAATGAAAGCTTAAACTGTGAGTTTAGATAGGTCCTACGTAAAAAGAGTCCTTTATCAGAATCTGGCTAGTAAAAGGTTTTAAATATAACAGATTCATTCTTACTGATTCAAAGAAAAAGTAAATGAATTAAAAATGCAAAATATGCTTTGACTTACCCAAAAGGATCACCAACAACAAGAAATGCAACATCACTGAGGTCAGCATCCTTTAAAATATTATCTGCATTTTGTTCTACTTCTTCTCTATCAGCAAGAATCAATTTTCTTCCATAAAATTCTTCCTACAGATTTAAGTCCAATACCAAAGTGAAAGACAGCAGGTGACCATTTCAACACACACAAAACAATCTTTGTCTGGCACTGATGCAAACCTGGCAACCTTCCAAACACAGATCATTGAATACAGCTCATCAATGAGCCAGCATTCTATATCATGTTGCAATTAAACTCTGTCTTTGGGGCTATCTTAATATCCCAAGAGGAAGCAGACCTCTTAACATCTGAGGCTTTTTGCATTTTAAATTATTTCTAAATTTAGTTCTAATAGACCAGGCAGAACACAGTACATACATATAAGCCTTATTGCAGAATCATAATAATGCAGAATAAAAATATTAAACAATAACTACAGTCAGATATAACAGAGTTTTATTAAATTTTCTTTAAGAAAAAATCTATGGGATCTTGGCTAAAACATAGACAACTTTGGTGGAAAAATGAAAAAAATTAAGACACAGATGTTTATGAACCCAGTAGGCATTCTTATGTAATGCCAGGAAAGACTAATGCAAAACTATATTCTTCATACTGCTAAAAAGGCAGAATTACGGGGGTGGGGGGTGGGGTGGGGTGGTGTTAAAAAAGAATTCTAAATACATAGGAAGTCTCCAAATAAACTGCTTTGTGAATTAATCCCCTGAAGTTCAAATCATGAAGACAAACTCAGAAGGCAGACTTAACTGGAGCAGCAGCATATAAGTAAGGGCAAAGTGAGCTAGTGTGTTAATGGTGAAAAGCCATTATGCAAGATCATGCCTCTTATAAATGATTTCCTATAAAGTAATCTGCAAGTTTAGTAAAAGTGGATGCATAAAAAGGATGGAGACAGCCTATGTGCCCATCAATGGAAGAATGGATAAACTTTGGTACCTACACACAATGGAACACTATAGAACGTTACAGAGTTAAAGGTCAATCTGTGAAATGCATCATAACTTGGAATAACCTGAGGATATTATGCTGAGTGAAATTACTGTTGTTAATTGCCATTGAGTCAGTTCTAACTCATAGCAAGTCTGTAAAGTGTTTCCAAGGAGCGGCTGGTGAGTTTGAACTGCCAACCTTGTGGTCCAGTGCATTATCCACCCTGAGTGAAACTAGTCAATCACAAAAGGTCAAATATTGTATGAGACCATTATTGTAAATGCTTAAGAAAAGTTTTCTAGCTGAAAGAAACATTCTTTGATGGGGGGGGGGGGTGTTTGTTGTTGTTGTTATGTGCCATGGAGTCAGTTTCGACTCATATCCACCCTGCACAGGGTTTCCGAGGCTGTAAATCTTTATGGGAGCAGAAAGCCTCATCTTTCTCCCATGGAACAGCTGGTATTTTCGAACTGCAGATAATGAAGTTACCAGCCCGATTCATAACCACTACACTACCAGAGCTCCTTCACAAGCTAGAGTGTACACACTTAGCTTGAGTGGCAATATACAAGAAGGGGGAGGGTGGCAGAAGAACAATGAATATAGGTGAAGACACAGGGAGGTATGCATAGGCTAATAAGAATAGATGTAAGTAGTGATATATACATAACCCTGAAACAACAGTGTTCTGGGTGTAGATACATGGATTGAGACATAAGCTGAATGGGTAAGAGAAAAATAGTGTGACATATTTTTATAGCCCACAAATATATGAGTTTGAAAGAGAAAAAAGGAACATTCTTTGATGGTTGCAAGGGATGGGAGGGAAGGAAGATTAGTTCACTGATTATATATGTTAACTTGGGTGATGAGGAGGGCAATATATAAGAAAAGGGAGGTTGGCAGAAGTACGGTAAAGACACAGTGGGATAGACAAGGGCTAAAGGGGATAGAGGAGTCCTGGAGGAGAAAGGCTAAAGATGAGCAAAAAGTAACTGGAAGAAATCTTAAAAGAAGTGAGAATTAAATCAGCACAAAACTCTAAGCCCTAAAGGGACCCGGGTAGCATAATGGATTATGAGTTGGGCTGCTAACTTCAAGGTCAGTAGTTTGAACTTATTAGCTGCTCCATGGGAGCAAAATGAGGCTTTCTGCTCCTGTAAAGATTCACAGCCTTGGAAACCCTATACAGAGTCATTATGAGTCAGAACCAATGCCACAACACTTAACAATAGCATATGTATGTATATATTTATATGTCCCACAGATATACAAGAGTGTGAAAGAGGATATTGGTACACAAGTATTTACCTTTCCTGCAAATACCACTGTAAATGTAGTGGTATACACAGTAGGCAAAAATGATGGAAATTTCTTAGATATTATCAAACATCTTAAGGAAACGAGTAGCTAGCTGAGCCTGGGGGTTCAAGACTATAGTCTCAGGGAGGCACCATAGTCAGCCGGCATAACACAATATACAAAGACAATGTTCTACATCCTACTTTGGTGTGTCTGGGATATTAAAAGCTCATGAGCAGCTTTCTAAGGAGCAGCTTATTGGTCTCTCCATGTGAAGAAGAAAGAAGAGTGATAAGAACTTAACATGCTTGGAATCAACTACAGATTAATCGGACAAGTGAACATCAGTTTCCATGACTTTGAGACCAGAACTAGACAGTTCTGCCCTGAAAGGGATCACAGCTACCCTGAAAGGTCCTGGATAGAGTAGCATAATGTGTGGAACAAAATGTAAAATTATTAAAATAAGATCGAGCTTACTGATCAGAAAGACACTGAACGAACCTGACCACCCTTCAGGTCTGAAAAGGAACACACCTTCTTTCAACCAATCAGTAGATAGGTATATAGAGGGAACAACTTTCAGCCAAGCAGTAGATCGGTATATAGAGGGGGAATAACACTAATAAACTATGCTCACTATGAATACTAGAACAGTTAATCATTCAAAATCAAAGAGGGAACATGTCCACAAGGACAATGGCCAGAAGAGATGTGAAGGTGAGACGAAGGAAAACAGGAACCACAGGGAGGATGTGGATAACTGTTGTTCCATGTATGAGATTGCAATCATTGAGATGAAACAAAGTGTATTATTTTTTTAATGTAAAACTGATTACCTTGTCTGTAAACCTTCACTCAATTCACAATAAAAAGTAAAAAAATAAATAAGTGAATTCATAAATAATATCATTAAAAGGTAGAAAAACTGCTGTGTGGAAGAGTATTTGGTAATCAATATTTGTCAACTCTGAGTGAATGAACAAATAATTAAGCATATGAAGTTAAAGGCTTTAGTTTCAACTTTGATGGTGGTGGTGGTGGTGATATGCCATGGAGTCGGACTCATAGTAACCCTGTACAGATTTACAGGCTGTAAATTTTTACAGGAGCAGAAAGCCTCACCTTTTCCCACAGAACAGCTGGTAGTTTCGAACTGCTGTCCCTGAGATTAGCAGCCCAATTCATAACCACTACACTACCAGTCCTTTCAACTTTGATAATTATTTCCTATTTTTTAACATGACCTCTTGCTTTCTTCATGTATAATGTCCTTGATGTCATCTTACAAGTCATCATTGTGCAATGCATCAAATCTATTCTTAGGATGGTCTCTAAATTCAGGTCCAAATTTGTATTTGGACTCTCATGGAATTGTTCCAATTGTTTTTCACCTTCAACTTGAGCTCGCATATTAGTAGTGTATTCTGCAATTAGCCTCTGGTTTTGTTCTGACTGATGATATTGAGCTTCTCCATTGTCTCTTTCCATAGATGCAGTCAATTTGAATTCTGTGTGTCCTATCTGGTGAGGTCCACATGTACGGGACCTCATGCAAAAATAGGATTAAAAGATATGAGACTTTTCCACAATTTTTTTAAAGCTCCCTTATATCACCATCATTTATATTGTTGATAAAAGATATTTCCAAGGGATAGGTCATTGATTTTGCAAAATTCTAACATGTGATCCCCTACATCATTTCCATCATCAAAGCCCAATTTCCCAAATACCAATCCGTCTGTTTCCATCTTTTGCATTCTAATCACCAGTAATTATCAATACATCTTGATTTGCATGTTTCAACTTCAGGCTGTAGAAGTTGGTAAAATCTTCAATTTCTTCATTTTGGGCATTAGAGATTGGTATGTAAATTTGAATGATAGTCATTTTAACTAGACTTCTTTTGAGGTGTATGGATATTACCCTATCACTGACAGCCTTGTACTTCAGAATAAATCTTGAAATGTTCTTTTTAACAATGAATGTTTCACTGTTCTTCTTCAATGTCATTTCCTGTAGCCATATGACTGTCGAATTCAAAATGGTCAATAACAGTCTATTTCAACCCATTAATGCCTAAAATACAAATCTTCGGGTATTGCACTTCATTTTTGATAACTTTCAATTTTCTTATATATTCATACTTTATACAATCTATGTTCTGACTCTTAATGGATGTCTGAATCTATTTCTTCTCATTTCAAGTCAAGCTACATAAGCAAATCAAGGTCCCAAAGCTATGCTCCATCTACTTCATTAAAGCTTACTCTACTAAAAGGAGACAGTTATTCCCCAGGACTCATCTTCTAGTATTATATCAGACAATGTCCCACTGATACTCAAAAGGTTTCACTGACTAATTTTTTTAGAAGCAGATCATCACTTCTTTCTTCCTCGTCTGGCAGCTTTGCTGATAGCTATCCAATAAGCAACACTGTGAAAAAAAAATGTAGAAAACAGTGAAACTGTCAAGGATTTTCTTTTACTTGTATCCACAATCAACATATAAAGAAGCAGCAGGCACAAAACCAAACAATGTATTGCACTGGGCAAATCTGGTCAGGAAATAACAACTGCTTGTTAAGAGTCCTGGTGGAGCAATAATTAAGCAACTGATTGCTAACTGGAAGATTGCAGGTTCAAACCCACCAGAAGCTATGTGACGAAAAGGTCTGTCGATCTGCTCAGATAAAGATTACAGCCTTGCAAACCCTGTGGGGTAATTATACTTTGTTCCATGGAGTTGTTCTCTGTTGGGATCAACTTGATAGTATACAACATTTGTTGTTGTTAGGTGCCATTAAGTCGGTACCAACCCACAGCGACCTTATGC